CAGCTAATGACAGCGAAAAAGACAGCTATAAATAAAAGCGCAGTAAACAACGACGGCAGGCAGGCAGATGAAATAAACAATGAATTAAACGCAAAAAAAAATAATAATAATACAAAACTTGCAAAAAAAAAACAATCAAAAATAATAATTAAACACATACAGCAAAACAAACAACGAAGTGACAGAGCAAATATTAACACAACTTTTGTATGTCTGTACATCAGAGAAAAGAAGCACAAAAAGCAAAGCGCGAAACTAAGAAAGAGCGCTAAAATCGGCATTAACAGCAAAGTTAAACACAGTAAATGCACAACAACAAAAACTAGGCACTTTGAGAAAATCTTTATAGAAATCAACAAATACTAAGTGGAAAACTAAAAATATTATAAACAAATGTAAAACTGAAGAATTAACGCGAATTTAAATGCGCTAACAAAATAAAAGCGAGTGTGTAGAAAATAGTTAACAAAAATAAAAAGCAAAGAAAAAACAAAAAAGACGCTCTTAAAAAGCCGCAACAAACCAAAAAACAAGTCAAAACAAAAAAATTACAAAAATTGCAATGCTGTATGGTAACGCCATTATATGCGCAGTTTTCAAGCGTTATGATAAATTTTGTAATAAGCGTTGTTGGAGTGCAAAAAGCAATGTAATTGCAAATTAAAAAAAAAAAAATTACTGATAAAATATGGAACAAGCGCAACAAAGAAGCGATGATATTTATTAAACAAATACACAATACAAAAATGTCAATTATTTCACTGGAAACACCCTGCTGTGTATGAGACCGCACCAAATTTTTAAGAGTCATAAGGAAATACCAAAAAATAATAACTTCGACTGCACTTTCGTGAAGACGGTTATCCATACAAGGGCTTAATTTTTATCGGACAGTTTTTGACAGCTATGTATGTACATATATGCTATATTAGTCCGTTCTGAAAATTTTATTCGAAGTTGTAGATAATAATCTATGCAAATTTCGGCGGAGACAGCTCCTGACAACTTGTTTGGCAGCTATATCGCAACGAACTGTGTCGATTTAGCCATATTCGGATGTCTGCTCATTTGTCAAAACGCCCGATATCGGACTACCAGAAGCATATATGTATGTATGTACATATGTATGTATGTATATATACATATATGATCTTCAACGTTTCCTTCCTTACTTTTTTATTAATGACTCAAACTCTCCAAAATATTATTTTCGTTTAATACCCAGAAAAAATTGGTTTTGTCGTATAGTGTTATGCTTGCTTACAAATATTTGTACATATTGCGATTTGAAGTTTATCAAGAAAAGGTATTCTAGCAAAAAGTTAAACAAATTAAAACCGAATAAATATAATTAAGATACAAACATTTTGCAGAACGAAATGTGAATAAGATCTCGATTATGGGGGCATAGCAACAAAAACAAGCGATACACCGGCTACGAACGTCATCAGTCGTCAACAATATCAGCCAAACAAAGTCACAAGTAAAGCGACTCTACTATATACGCACTTGGGTGTGTTCGTATTATGCATTACATATACCACTATGAAGCTACTATACTATATACAATAGCAACGAACACGGTGATCGTGTGACAAGATCGTTGAAAAACGCTTTGCTAAGCCGATTTGACGAAACGACAATGGACTTCGCAGACGTCAAACTTTAGCCCGTGATCAGCACATTTTCCACTAACAAACACACATATATGTATATATACATATAGATGAGTTATATGTAAATACCTACTAAATATTTGTATATAAATATCGATTCCTGATGGGCGTCACTTTATCGGAAACAAATACGAGAATAAGCACAAAGCGTTCGGCTGTTTGTGTTAGCCCAAAGTCACATTTTTGGCATAATTTCATAATTTCTTACTTTGGGACGCCAAATTTAATTAGGCCAAACACAGGCCGCCAAGCAATGGTGAGTTTTTATCTCCCATTTGTAGCGGGCGATAAAATGTTGCTCATGTTGCTATGGCTTGGCAGTAGCTGCTCGAGTTTTTGTTGTGAAGTGAGTGGCATTCCTAAGTGTTTGGGAATTTTAAATATGCAAATGCAGTTTAATGAGCAAAGCGTTCCACATTGGCAGAACAGGTGCGTGAAATTAATTCAAAAAAAGTCAAAATCAAAAGTGGTATAAAGAACGCTCACATATAATAAGTGAAACTTTTTCAATAAAGAAAAATAAAAAACGTAAAATATAGCTATAAGCTATAGTGATCCGGTCTCAGTGGTTCAAATGAGTAACTTCTGGAGGAGAAATCCAAAATTTCAGATCGATATCGCGTATATGTATATAGACAAAAAGGGAGACGGACATGGTTAAATCATGGTTTCTATACCAATATTTCAATCAATGAGCAGTATACATACATACAAATGTATGTAGATGTGTATCGTATATAAAAAATCGTAATTTTTATCATTTGAACTCAACAACGAAAATTCTTACTAAAAAGTATGACGATGTGCATGTAATGTTTGTGAAATCGGGTTGCTCATAAAACCTTGCGCTACTTGTGACTTAAGTAAGAATCTGCTATGCGAAACGCTTGTGTTATACACGTCAGTGCGAATCAAACCTTATAATACATAGAATACTTATACAATGGAAATTTACATTTCAACGCGGTTTGACGTCATTCTGAATCAAGAGAACAGTAGGGTTACATACACTTGAAGAAATTCTTTTATAATTTCAAAAAAAAAAAAAAAAAAAAATGCAACGTTTCAATGAAGTTTCTCAGTGGAAAAAATAATTCGAAACTAATTTGATAAAAACAATATTATTAGCGGAAGAAGTAAACATACATATGTATCTGCACATACTAACAACAAAAAAATCAACAAAAAAAAACAACACTGCATAATTTTTACTACCACATAACACTTTTAAAATTTAAAAGATTACAAAAATTGTGAAAAAAATTAATATTTTTTTGAAAACTGAAAAATTTACAAAAATTTCGAAAATAAAAAAAATTGTCAATACTACTAACAAGACCTTAAGCAAATGAAACCCTGCTTGTTTTCTTTTAGCACCTTGTAGTGCCATACAAATTTATAAACAGAAAAAATTGGAAAAAATTTTTAATTAAAATAAATATTTTTTTTTTCAATACTATTAAAAGCAAATTAAACCCTGGACCCTCTTTTACTACCATGTAGCACCAAAAAAATTCAAAAAGTGAGAAAATTAAAAAAAAACAATGTAGAAAACTCGCTAACCTTGTAATTCCGAAATTTTTCACAAATATTATTAAAAAATCAACAATATGAGAAAAGTTCTATATGTTTAACCTTAAGCAAAAGCATTTCTAGCCGTTGCCTTTAACTAAGATAAACTAGCAAAAAAAATTTCAAAAATTACTTAATTTTAGATAAATATATGCTTTCCAAAAATATACATATTCGAATCATAATACTAACATTTTTTAAATCCAACCTTTATGTAAGTTTACAGTATTGAAAAAATTACAATAATTTGAGGAAGCTCATATCCGGTGTATACTTTACCACATACGTGGGCAAATGTTTAAGGCTTAAAAGTCTAATGTGAATTTAACTGGCTATTTAATTGCTTCACTGCGCGACCAGTAGCGCTGAAAATGTATACATTTATATTGTACTTATATAAGTTAAGCAATGCGAAAAAAGGAAAAAGTGTTAAAGTAAAAACAATTTGGCATTAATAAAAAAAAACTATCGACAGTTATCAAAATATTTTTCAACTCATTTAGGAAGGAACATAAAACAAGCAAAAAAAAAATAAAAAAATAATAATGAGATTGAGAGTTTTTAATTTACATATGTATAAACGAGTACAAAAGCACACGTTTATATAAATAAAACATTAAAAACAACAAAAAACAAGGTTGCCTTGTATTATAATATATGTATGTATACTCATAAGTAAATATATAGATATAAATATGTATATAACTATACAAGAACAAATCTTTGTTTTGGTTGGGAAGACGGGAATGTTCATAAGCATCTACACACTTATATTAACATAAAAGTATAATTGTGTTATGTATAATAGAAACATAAACATATGTAGATACATATGTATACTCGTACTATATGTTAATATATAAAAATATTTAAAATACATATTTATGCACATTAATAAATATATGATATGCTAAAAATATATAACTTAGTGAATCTAAATAGTTGACTCAGGCCTAAAAATATAATAAATACATAGGATCATCATATATGCTTTATTGTTTAACACATCAAATACTATATAGGACCGCCTCAAGAGCTTTTAGGTTGTTCATTGAAATAAAAAAGGTTTTCGATTAAAAAGTTTAAGTTAAATAGAGATTTCGAAAATTTATCCACTTATGACTTTCAAAAACCGTTGCTTTTGCATTGTACATCAACTTCAATTTTCGGAGAATATTCTAAGAAATATATTATATATTCACTTGTGATATGCAAAATCAAGTCCCTATAAGGAAAACTATTTTATCAAGGTATCTTCGCAAATTATGCTATGAATTATTGACGAAGTCAGCGGAACAAAATAAAGCGACTGTATAGAATTTTTTGCAAACAAGAAACACACTCAAGTTTTCAGCACAGTATTTGCTTGCCTTTGACCGTCTAGCTAAAACACTCCAAAACATTTTTTTATAAATTCTAAATCATAAGTAAAATCTTTCATAAGTAATGCACATCTTTCATACGCTCGCTAACTCAAAAATATCGCGTTAGTAAAGATTAACATAGAATAGATACAGAAATTTCATCATACACAACAATAAAAACAATAAAGAACATTAAAAAAAAATTACAAACAAATAACAGTCATAAAAACAACAAAGTAAAAGTAACAAAAGTATATGTTTGTATATACATATGTACATATGTATGTAAGTACATATGTACATATAAACAAGTATGTATTATATATTGACGTATATATGTTTACGCTTCTAAAGTTCTAATAATTTTTATAAGCAAAAAGTAACGTACTTTTTCGTTAGATCGGCCATTTTGTAGGCGCCACTGCTGCTGCCCTTAGCCGCGTTTATGTTCTGTATTTGTTGTAATTTCATTTAATTTTTATTTTGACGTTTATTTATTTTTATTGCCGCTTACTTTCGTGTTATGCGACGCGTTTGTTTATTTTCTCTACGCTGACTTTTTACTTGCTTCCGTTGCGCTTTTGAGCACTTTTTGTGTTTCGCTTTAATATTTTACTCTTTTTTATAAATATTTATTATACGCCTTATTATTTGAATTAATTTTTTTTATTAAATTTTTAGACACTCGTCTTCAGTTGTCTTTGTAATACAATAATAAAGTATCGCTGTTGATTTTTTTGCACTTTGGGTGTAAATATGTGTATATTTGCATTTGTAGTTGTATATTAACAGCGCAACAACAATAATAACTACTACACTAACGTCGTCGAACCAACGAACTTATAGGATTGTATTGTATTGAATTGAATTGTTTTTTAAAAGAATGTATAAGAATGCACTGAGAAAAATTAGACAGCAGCATGTCGCGTAAAACGGTGACGATATCGCCGTTCGTGCTTGTACGCAAACAAGCAAATGTAGAAAGCATTTAAAAGTTACATGCTCGTACACGAAGACAATTTGTGTGTGCGGCCCCGAAGTGCGGTGGAAAATCGCAAAGGCAGGAAAGCTGAAGGCTGCAGCCTGCAGGCATTTGACGTCGACCCACTCACATACACAACTACACATATAAAATGTACGCTCGCCCAGCACCTCCTCGTTTGCTGACTAAACGACGAGTGAGTTGTCACATACATAGACACATGCGCGTGTGTGTGTTTTGTTACATATAATAAAGGCATCCGCGAAAATAAAGAAATTTTTCAGCACTTTTTCTTAAGATAGCAAAGTTTTGCACTTTTTTACTTTTTTACGAAGCTTAATTTTACGCGTGGAGTTTGCTAAAAATCTGTGGGCACTTTAAATTATTCGCAAATATTTTCTAATTGGCGAAAACACTATCGCGAAAATAAAATTTTAATTTTTTAGTTTAAAACTTTTTCAAAGTACTTTATTTTTCATACCGTTTTAGCAATATTTTGTGCAGTTGAAACACTTTTCATTATTCAACTATAAGATTTCGAAACTTTTTCACTGAAAATTTCAAATTTGAACTCGACAACAACTGACGCGGCGTTTGCTTGCCTACTGAAAGTGTGCGGCTGGGTTAGACTAGTCGCCACTGGCTGACAGGCTGGCCTGGTCTGCTCTGCAACGCTGCCGCGTTAGCTGACTACAACGACGACGGCGCCAACAACACAATGCTTTGCAGTGCTGTGCGATGTGATATGATACCCACTGCCGCGCGAACGGTGAGGCGCTGCTGCTCTGGCATAAAGCACAAGGCAAATTTTGTTTTGTTGACGACGTCGTGGTCGACGTTGACGCCGCAGTAATAGTAGCCGACGCATGAGTAACGAATACAGCAATGCGAGAAAAGCACCGAAGAAATGAGGCAATGAAATATATCAAGAACAACAACTCATATAATACATACCTACGCATTTTTGTACATGTGTACGTAGAGTGGCGACGCTTTTGATAGTCGCTACAAATTTGTTGCTGTTTTTAATTTAGATTACGTATGCGCGTGTGTGAGCCAGTGAAAGAAAGTAAAAAGCGTAATTTTAGCTGCATGTGTGTGGTAAGTAACGCACCTATGCTCTAAAATTTGTTTAAAAATAATAAAAATAAAAGCTTTAAGAGCAAAATGTATAGCTGCTGAGAGTACATAGCAGAGAGCAACCGACAACTTGCAGTAAAAATAAAAGAGATTTCGTCTGCGTATGCAAATGATAACATGCGGCCGGCTATTGTATTATTTTTACTTTTACTCAGTCAAAATAAAAAACAAGGTGAACTTCGGTTGCAGCGAAGCTTTATTGCACTTCTTCCCTTCTCTATAAAATAGATCCCATACAAAAGTCAGTTTGTGTCTGCCATATTATATGCTATAGTGGTTCGATCTACATAATTTGTTCGGAGATTACTTTGGACAATAATCCATGTCAAATTTCGTGAGGATATCTTATTTGATAAAACGTTTTCCATACAATAGCAGTAATATGTAAAGAGATTGTACGGTTGCTTTGATCTATGCCACTTATTGTGAAAATATTTTCTTAAACTAAAAACTTTCCATAGAGAAATTTGATTTCGATCGTTCAGTTTGTTTGACAGCTATGTATATGCGACTATACAAGACCGATAAAGGCAGTTCCGAGAACTAAGCAATTTCTTGAAGAGAAAGGCAGGTGTGCAAAGTTTCAGATCGATATCTCAAAAACTGCGCGACTAGTTCGCGTATATACAAATAGACACACGGACATGTCTAAATCGACTCAGGGCATAAATGTATAGTGAGTAGTGTAATGAAATGCCGAGCATAACAAATAAAAGCACAATTTCAACGCAGCAGTGTACAAACGCGCCGAGAGAGCAAGAGAGTCGCAGAAAAGTAATGCAGTAAGAGTGCAAAGTACAAAACACAAGAGTGTATTATAAACGAAAAAAGTGCAGTAAAGAAGAGTAGCGCTTTGACTTCGTGCTTTATACGCTCCAATTCGTTAGAAAAATAAATAAGTTAGCGTCTTATTTTTAACGATGACACATATACACAGACTCGCGGTAGGTACATGAGTAAGAGAAAATACAATCAAAGTTGAAAATGTTACAAGAAAATGGTAAAAGCAACGGTATTTTTTAGAGAATAATAGTCAGAAACGATTTGCTGACTCACTAGCATAGTCATACCCAGTAAATAAAGAGTAGACAAATTTTAAACCGGCACAAATTTTAAACAAAAGCTTTTCAAACCACACACACCGCCTTAACAAACACATACACATGCGCTAGAAACACAACAAATAATGGCGAACAAACCAATGCAAAGTCAGCAACTGCGACTCAACAGCTATAAACAAATATAGTGTGAGGCATAAACAAGCATTGACAAGCTTTTTGTGTGTATATATAAGTGTGGATGTGCATGTATACAAAGCGTCACGCTCTCACCAACACATAAGCGCACAATACGAAGCCTTGCAAATTTTTGCATGGCGTACAACAAGAAAAATGTCAACAACTTTGGAAAGCTTGCGCTCAAATAATGCTAAAAAAGTTCAACATATGAGCGTGAGCAACAAAAACAAATACTACCACAAGCGCACGTACATACAATATAACAATAAATGTGACAACAATAAAAAAAAATGTTTGATTGCAATATAAACGAAGTATTTTCGCAGTAAACTAATAGTACAAACGAATGCGAATTGTTGCAATAGTGCGACGCGACGCCAAATAGGCGCACAACAAAATCAAATGAGCGACAAACGGCGGTATCAGAAAAAATAAATATAAAATAATACAATAAAATTCGATTATGTTCTTGATATGTATGTATATGTATGTACACATACGCGTTCATTCAAACACATGTGCGTAAATAAAAACTAAAACAAAATAAATTAATTACAGACGTGTTCGAAATAATAAGAACAACCAAAGTGAATATCGAAATCATTGAATAAAATTTTCTCAGTAATATTTTATTGAGTCTTTTTTTCTTAAAAAATTTATACATATTGTGAGTATTAAAAAAATTGAAAATCTGGTCATCAAATACGCACTAACTTTTTTGTACTGCAAATTTTGTTGCATTGGGTCTTAAACAG